AGGGTTTACAGGAGACTTGATTATAAATGGGATCCCAGGTCCAAGGAGAGATCCCCAGACTGTTCTCTAGACAGAGGAGAGGTTGCCTGAACTGGCCTTGGCCCATAACCATACTGATGAAGATTTTGCTTATCATCATAGATCCTTCATCTGACGATGGATGGCGATACAGATGGAGACCCACATTGGAGCACCGGACTGAGCCCCCCATGGTCCAAATGAGGGGCAGAAAAAGGAAGAACATGAAAAAAACTCAGGACCGGGAGGGGTGCGATCACCCACTGATACAAGGGGACTGATCTAATGAGAGTTTACCAAGGCCAGTTGGACTGGGCCTGAACGAGCATGTGATCCAACCAGATTTTCTGAATGTGGCCAGATCTCTGAATGTGGCTGGCCGGGAGTCTTTCTGAAAAGCCATTGACAATGACACTGGGACTTGTTTCCTCTGCATATACTGGATTTTTGGGATCCAGTCTGTTCGGATACTCACCTTCAGGGACCTGGAAGGAGTGGGGAGGAACTTGAACTTCCCACAGGGCTGGAAGCCCTGACTGCTCTTAGGGATGAAGGGGGAGGAGGAGGGGGAGAGGGGAGTGGGAGGGTGTTGGGAGGAGGGGCGGAAATGAAAACTTTCATAATTTAATAAACTTTAAAAAAAAAAGAAAATGGGTCCAACTGTAGGCACTGAGAGAGAGAAATAAAAGCCAGGCATGGAAACACAAACACTACATCTTATCTTTCAAATGTGGAGAAAAAGGAAAAATGGAAAAGACTGGAAACTAGAGGAGATGACTATCAGGGATGGTGGTTCTGGAAGATAGCATATTTAGAAAGAAGTGAAAGGTGGAAGCCTGAGGGCGGGGTATATATGCAGTCTGCAGATATTTACAGAGGTGGTGAGAACCCCTTGAAGAGCACTCATTTGTAAAACTACCGATAATTTCACATGTATATGTCAGTTGAAATATATTCAAATAATAGAATAGTAAAACAGACACATGAAACAGAAGTATGGGGAAATATGGCAACCATTCTTTTGATACGGATTTTCTTTCTAATAATAAGCTACAAAAAGAATATGAATAAAGAACATATTACAGATAACTTATGAGACAACTTCTAATGGAATAAAAAAAAGGTTTTGGAGGCTTCCTAAAACAGCATAGGGCAAAAAGGATAACTCTCTAATTTTCAGAGTCAGATGCATTATGTGTACATGTCCACAGTCAAGCTGTATAATAGAATAATAGAATAATAATAATAGAATCACTATAAAATTGGTCCTAGAAACATGGTGTTGGAGTTCCTTTTGTCTATAGATTGCTTTCATTGTTTTAATTTGAGAAACTCGGTTGGCCTGAAAGCGCAAAACTTAGGTAGGCTGAGAAAACAGAACTGAATGCTGGGAGAAAGGAGACAGAGTCAGGGAGAAGCCACATTGATCCTCTGCCTGAGATGAACAGCCGGTAAGATTCTTGCGGGTAAGCCACTACCACGTGGTTATATACAGATTAATAGAAATGGGTTGAATCAATATGTGACAGTTAGCCAATAAGAGGCTAGAGTTAACAGGCCAAGTAGTAATTTAATAAATATAATTCTGTCTGGTTATTTTGGGGCTAAGCTAGCTGGGCGGCCGGGACAAACAAGCAGCTCTCACCTTGCAACAGAAACACCCATTTAAAACATTGAAACTGCAAATATTTATACAGATAATCATTGATAAAATGTTTTTGACCAAAGGTAATGGCAGGTATCTTTCAGATAGTGTTGAATACAGCCTCGAAATGAGTCTGAATGTCTTTGGGACACTGCAAGCTCAAACCCAACACATTAAGATCTACCTCGTGTTAACAGTTTAGTGCATCTGAACACGAAAATATGAGTTGTGCTCAGGAAGTCTGAGTAAACATGTTGGGTTGATTTTCCTGTAAAGGCCCATTTGCAATGGAGTTGGCTCTGTGCTCTCATGAATGAATGAAAGCATGCACAGAAAAATGGATCCCACCGTTATTTATTTCTTCTGAAATAAGTAAGGTAACATTCACTTTGGGGAACTGACAGAGAACCCAAGAAGCCAATCGTAAAATCAGATGCCATTTACTTCCAAAACATAACTGGCACTGCTGGGGATACCCACAAAAACAGTTGACCTGAGCTAGTGGGAGTTCACTCCCTGGATTGACATGCTAGGGAGCCTGCAAAGGACCAAACTAGGCACTTTGAATGTGGCTGTCAGTTGTGTGGCTTGGGCAGTTTGTGGGGCCACTGGTAGAATTTATCTCTAGTTCTTGAATTGTCTTATTCGAGCCCATTCCCTATGGAGGGACACCTTACTCTGCCTTGATACAGGTGTGGGGGCGGGCCTTGTTCCTGCTTCAAAGTGATGTGCCAGACTTTGTTGTCTCCCCATTGGAGGCTTCACCCTTGCTGAGAAGTGGATGGGGGGTGGGGTGGGGAGAAGGTGGGGGTAGTAGGAAGTGAGGAGGGAAAGGTATTGGGATTGGTAATGTAAAATTTACAAAGATTGTTTTAAAAAATAAAATTAAAAAATGGGAAACAAAAAACTTAAAAAAGATATGTTATTTAAAAAGTTAATATATGTTGTATATGATAGCAGACAATACACTTAAAAAATAGTGTATGTTTAATTCTGCCTATTCTGTAGTGATATTTCATTTGCATTTTTTAATAAAGTTTGCCTGAAGATTAGAGAGTAAAACACTCCCACTGGTCAGCTTTATAGACCAGGCAGTGATAACACATCCCTTTAATCCCACTAGCCACACTAGTTTGGCATAGAAACTGGGTGATAGTGGTACAAGCCTTTAATGCCAGCCCTAGATAGGAGTATAAGATGGGAGGAGACAGATCTCAGTAATAGTCTCAATCTGAGGATTCCTGGAGGCAGGATCGCCATTTCGAACTGAGGTCAAGGTCAGTGGCTTTTCTGACCTTCAGATTGAACCCCAGTATCTGTCTCTGGGTTTCTATTAATCATGCAACATTATTCTGCTCAATATACACACTTTATAATTATCTTTGAAATATGCTTTGTATTTAAGAAATACAGTTTTTAAAACTGTGCTTCCTTTCAGTATGTTGCACTAGGTATTATATTTTTAAAGATGCATTTTAAAAAGTCTAACTTAGGAGTGAAGAACAGGAAAAGGCAGTATGTGGGAGGCTCAGGTGTTCCCCTGCCTTCAGTCACAAGCATTGCCAGGGACTCCCATGGTGATCCTCAGTTCTAAAGCATGTACAGGGGGCTTCCCAGACAGGCAATAAGGTAAATTTGAGGTCCATAAACTTACTTTATACAAAAAGGCCCAGAGGTCTCACAAAGGCTGTTTCAGGGGTTTGGAATTTTGGAACCTTCTCTAAGGCCAGTGTTGCTCTAGTTTTGAAGGCCTGACCACTGGGCAGGAACAGCCATCACAGAACGACAGGCACAGGACCAGGCTCTGCCCTGCAATAGAAGTAAATTTCCAGTTTCATATTTTCCCCAAGACCTAGCTCAGCAGGATATTGTCAGACCCAGCATGGGCAGCAGGAGGACCTCCCTCATCCCACATTGGTTTGGGGGCAGCAGAGATCTTTCTGACACTAGTGAGGGAGGCCCCATCGGAGCTGCATAAGACTCACAGTATAGAACACGGTCCTCTGAACATGGCATGGCTCCCTCTGTCTTTAGGACAGAGCATTATGACCCCCCCAATAGATCCTCAGGTCAGGCTTGCTGTGCCCACACAGGAGAAGTGGGTGAGGGTGTCACTGGACTCTCAGTAGGCACGTCCTCCCTCCCACCTGCCTCCCACCTTCACTGCACATTACCTTGTTCCAGTTCCACAGAAAGTTTTGGAAGATTGTGCTTTTTCCACAATGGAACTGTTTTGGGGTTACCCATGTGTCTATAAGAAGGCCCCGACAATTCATTGCATTTGACTGATAGCATGGACTTGGATGGGAATCTTTTCTTTGGCTTACCATCAGTCCCTTTGGTGTCACCGGTGTCATCTCCCCAGGAAAAAGTAACCCTACAGCTCACCTAAGTAGAAAGCAAGGCACAGGATGTTACAAACAACAAAAAAGTATAATCTGAAGGTAGATCTTTAGCAAGCCAAATCTACATTCTTAAATTTTCATCTGCACTTACTAATTCACCCACCTTGCACTCAGGGAGCTACTCTAGAGAATTATGATAATACTAATAACAATAGCAGCTAATTTTTTACTTTAGTCTTTTGTGCCAGCAACTTCCCTGAAGGCTGTGCATACATTATCTGATTATGATCATACTATGGAGACCAAAATTAACATGTTCGGTATATTTACTAATTTAATGTGTTTAAATTTAAGAAACTATTTCTTAACTACAAAGCACTAAGTTCGTAAATATACATGAACATGATAAATTACGTTCTTTTGCGGGCCCAAGTCCCTGTTTTAGGACTACTAGAGCCTCACGTTTGCCACTTCCTACATCCACCTCTATCTCCCCACTCCCCCTCCCCCCACCCCGCCCCTCGCTCCACCCCCGCCCCCGCCCCCACCCCCTACCCCTTCAGCCTCCCAACCCCCCACCTCCAGCTACCTCCCGACGCTCTGCTTTCACGGGGAACCAGCAGCGCTCCTTGCTCCTCCTCACCTGCTCTGCTTTCACGGGAATCAGCCGCGCTCCTTGCTCCTCACCGCCGCTGCTGTACTTTAGAAACCTTGACAACCAGGCTTCTCTCCTCCCAGTCTTCTGCCGCCCCTCCCCACCGATGGAACTCGATGGGCTGGGGGAGTCCGACGAACCAAGGCAGGCCACGTACTTCTCTCGTGCTCTCTTTAGAAACATTGTCTCAAAGTCTCAAACTAGGGGCTCCAAACCCAGGCGGGAAAGCTGATGCGCAGGCGTGGAATCTTCTGAATCTCGCTCCTGGGCGGGACCAGACCAATCCACGCCGACGGCTTGGCGCTTCGGTTAGGAGTGCGCGGCTTTTCTCTGGTCTTTGGACGGGGCAAATAAGCTTTTCAGAGTGGGAAGAGTTCGCGGTTATCTCGTAATGTCTGGTGAGTCCGGTCAGCCTGAGGCTGGACCCTCCCACGCTGGCCTCTACTGGCAGCACCCCGAAAGAAATCAGGTTGGGGTTCCAGGAGGAGTGATTCGAAGGGCTGGTAGCCAAAGGCACAGTTCCTGGATCCAAAAGGTTATTGAGCAAATAACCGGCTCCCCTAAACAGTGTGTCACCCTTTCCGAAGTGGTGCCTGTCTCTGTACTGGCCGTCCAAAGATACCTGTTAGAGGATGAGCCACGGGACACAGTGCCCAAGCTTCCGCTTTACTGCTATGATGTGACGATCTCGGACGGGGTGTACCAGGAGAAGTGTTTCTTAGACCCCAGCTTAAACTTTCTCGTTTATCAGAATATTCTAAAAGTTGGCATAGAAATGAGAATTTTCAGAGTTTCGTGTCTTTACAACGAGAAAAGATTGGGCCAGGGAATCCTGTGCATAGATAAGGTCCACTGTGGGGAGACCCTAGATGTCGTTTCTGTAGAAACTCCATTTAGAAACAGAGAGCAGGAGGAAAAGCCAGAGAGGCCCCTGAGAGGCAGCAGGAGTCACTACCTGGCCCTGTGGAACAACGAGGATCCCTACGGAGATATCTGGAAGACCAACAAGCAACCTGAGGAATTCAATTTTAACAGTAAGTAATCGGAGGAAACGGGGCAGGTTTTTAAAAATGTTCGGAGCCTGGCGTGGTGGTCTACCTCCAGAAGACTCCCCGGTTGGGGAGGCTGAGGTAAGGGAATTGAGAACAAATTCCAGGGTGAACTCAGACCCAGAGAAGCACCACGTCTCAAAAACAAAGAGCAACAACAAAAACAGTTAAGTGTTTGGAAGCTCGTGCTAACAAGAAAAGAAAATGTTCATTCTAAGCAAAGAGGGATAAACAGTCTTAACTTCATGCTGCCTGTTGTTCCTCTTGGTTTGCTTGCAGAGTGCTGTTCTTGGAATACCTGAGTGTGGTTTAAATGTAGTTTGGCAGAAAGATTGAGGACGTGCTTCTCAGTACTTCTTCTATGTTCAATATTTATATTTGGTTGTAATTAATCTTAGTTGCAGTCCCATTTCAGCTGTGAAAAATATATAAGTTGAAGAGTGTATTGACTTGGATTTTGCATAAAAACCATGCAGCATTGTATATTTTAACATTGAACATTTGTTCAAAGGAGATGTTCTGTGATGTGATAATTTACATTAAGTAGGACACCATGTTTATGTCACTGAATGTCAAAGTCATACAAATATTACTTAGAAGGTGTGATGATTTTAGAAAGGCTTCAAATGATCCTTTCTCTTGATACAGGAACTTCATATTTCCTGTATCAGAAATAGGAAGTTACCCTGAAAATGGTAGTTTGTCTTCAATAAACGCTCTTTTAAAATCTTTTTGTATTAGCACCTAAAGTTAAGGCAGATGATGACACTACAGGCTAAACATATAAGAGAATGGGTAGAGGCAAAAAATTAAAAGTCCATAATCTTTTATATTTACTGGTTTTAGATATTTTTTGTTTGTGGAGGCAGAGTCTAATATATCCAGGCTAACCCAAATCTCCTGTTCCTCCTGCTCTGTCTCCCAAATTCTGGGATTACCAGGAGTACTTGATTATACCTGAGGATCCAACCAGGATTTCCTGCATGCTAAGCAAGCATGGTACCAGTGAGTCACTTTACTCAGCCCTATTCCCTTTTGTTATGGGGCATTTTATTATGGCAAGCAATAGTAACAAATTTGAACATTAGAAGCTAATTGGCTCAGAAATGAACATTTATAGTCATATCTACTTGAGAAAAGAAAATATTAATAGAAATTTGTAGTCTGTGATTGCTTAGGTAACTAAGACATAAAAGCAAAGTAGTTATGGTATAAATGTTCATTTATAATTTTAGAATTTAATTTGTAAGAGGACAATTGATTCAGAATTTAAAGAGGGCTAATAATTATATATTATGTCCATAAATAATAAAGTATATTTGATTTCAGTTCTTAAGGTAGTCATATCCAGTAGATATCAAAGTGATATTTTATTTAAAAAAGCAATGTCCACGTGTTAAAAAATTTAAACTGTGTATTTTAAAACATACTGTGTTAAAATCAAGAGGTCCAAGTCTATTAAAACCATGGTAGTAAAATCTAGGAAGTGAGTAAAATCAGGACTTCAGGTTTGCTGTATGTTTGAAATTCTAAATCATAAACTTTGGAATGCAGTGAAATTCTTCTTTGCCCTGTGTATGCTTTCACCATTCTTATCAAAATTGCAAGCTTAAGAATTTGGTGTACATTTTTGAAAACATAAAATTAATTATGTGATATTTTCACATAATGCATTTCAGGTACCTCTGGGGTATTTCTATAAATATAATATTACATATTATAGAAATGTGATAACTTCTATAATTGTGCCCATGTAATTGAGTAATTTATTATTTTAAGCTTTCTCAGTATTGCAAAAAGTGCCAAATACAAGTAGGATGTGTAAGTTTTCTTTGTGTTTAGAATTGTTGAAAGGTTGGATTCCCAGAGTTAAAGAATGTCTGAGGGTATTTTTAAATTTATTTTATTTTAATTTTTTTAAAAGAAAGCAAACTATCTTTTTTTTCATGATGCATACCAATTCCAGTTCCTACTCCCTCCCCTTCTCCCATTCCCTTCACATACCCTCCCATCCCACCCTCCACCCACCCCTTCACCCCACCTTGCCCCCATCCACTCCTCAGAGAGGGTAAGGCACATAGATTTGGGGAAGGTCCAAGGCCCTCCCTACTATATCTAGGCTGAGCAAGGTATCCTCCCAAAGAGAATAGGTTCCTAAAAAGCCAGTACAAGCAATAGAGTTTTTTTTTAATTCTTTGAATACTGATAAATTGTTTTCTGAAAAACTGTACTAATTTGAATTGAACAAATACGTATGAGTTTCTATTTCCCTGTATCTTTCAATTCTAAAATAGTGTCTTTTGGCTTTGTCCTATTTTTTTTTTTTCGAGAGTTAGGAGCTGAGCCTGAGGTCCCCAGTGTGCCCCAGAGGAAGGGCCTTACAACTGAGCCACACACCAAGCTTGTCTTTTTTGTATTCATTTAATGGATTTCTTTACTAAATAGGTATTAAGTTTGTGTGTGTGTTATGTTTCAGTTTATTTTTATGGTGTCCTGTCCCTTTTCTGTAAACTTTGTTCATGTTCTTTGTTTTTGAATCTCTTTAGTAGCTTTTAGCTTCACACAGTAACGTGAGAAGGGTTTATACAACCCCATCAGTCGTACACGTCTGCATAGTTATTCGGTCACACTCGAGTCCATTAAGATCTAGAAAACGTCAGGCACCCGAAAAGCTTCTGCCTTGCCTATTCCTTGCTTCCACCCTACGTGAAAAGTGGAAGCTCACACTGCAACCTTGCAAATGTCCTTTTCCTATTTTCTATTGATTTTTTAAAAATTATTCTTTTGAGGCAAGTTCTTAGACCTCAGGCTGGCCTTGAACTTCTTAGCCCCTGACTCTAGCTTCCAAGCTCTGGGACTACAGACCCTATGACATACCAAGTTTTGTTTGTTTTGTTTTTGTAGTTTTAATTTTTTACACTTATTTATTTATTCATTTGTGAGTATGGGGGAGGCAGGGCAGAGAACACAGGAATACCTCGGTGTCACTGTGAGTGTGTATAGGTCATAGGACACCTTTAGGGTGTCGGTTCTCTCCTTCCACCATTACCCACTGAGTCATCTTGCTTCTTTTTTCTCAAGATTTTGGAGACAAGGTTTTACCTTACAGTCCAGGCTTGCCTGGAATTCATAGTTCTGCAGTCTCTGAGATCACAAGCTTGTGTACCATTTTGCCCCACTTTTTGTTGCTTATCTTTTCTTATTTATTCATTTTGATTTTGTGCGTATGAGTGCTTTGCTGACATGCATGGATATGCACAGTGTGTGTGTGCCTGGTGCTCAAGGAGGCCAGGTGTTAGATGCCCTGAAACCAGAGATAGAGATGATTATGGACCATGTGGATGCTGAAGACTGAATACATGTCCTCTGCAAGGGCAAGAAATACTTTTTACTGCTAAGCATTCTCTCAAAATTCTGGAGAAAACTACTGACTTTTACCATTGTATAGTGAAAACAGCCCTAGACAGTATGTAAATTACTGGGTCTGATTGTATTACTACAGGACCTTTGCAAAGCAGGGATTCTTTTATTTTATTTTAATTTATTTTATTTTATTTTATTTTATTTTATTTTTGAGATGACCTACAGCACATGCTGGCGTTGAACCTCTGTTCTTCCCCTAGTCTCCTGAGTCCTAGGCTTAAGAGTGTATACCACCAAATCTTCTCTCTCCTCTGTGTGTGTGCACACGCGTGCGCACTCGCGTGTGCATGTTTTGCTAGCGATTGAAATTGAGCCTTATTCATGCTCTGCAACAACTATATATCTTTTAGCTCTTATTTTTTTAATTTTTGAGACAGGGTCTGACTTAGTTGCTTAGATTTGTCTTCCACTCACTCTGTAACCCAAACAGGCTGTCTTTCTGCCCTAGACTCTGAACAAACTGAAATCATAAGTCTGCATCACCAGCCATGGCTGTACTGATAGTTTTTACAGCACACTTTACTCTTTTTTAAAAACTATTGTGATTAATGGAGATTTATTATTTTTAATTTTTTATTTTTTAGAACAATCTTTTTTTATTTTATATAGCAATCCCTGTTCCCCCTCTGTCCCCTCTCTCCCACTCCTCTCACCTTCCCCCAACCCACCTTCCATCCACTCCTGAGAGAGGGTAAAATATCCCATAGGGAGTCAACAAAATCTATCACATCAAGTTGAGGCAGGACCAAGACCCTCCCCCGCCCCTGTATCTAGGCTGAGCAATGTGTCCCTCCATGGGGAATGGACTCCAAAAAACCAGCTCATGCACTGGGGATAAATCCTGATCCCATTGCCAGTGGTCCCACATCAGACCACCCTACTGTCACCCACATTCAGAGGGCCTAGTTCGGTCCTTTACAGATTCCCTAGCTGTCAGCCTAGAATCCATGAGCTCCCACTACCTCAGTTTCTGTGGGTATCCCCATCATAGGTCTTGACCCCTTTGCTCATATTATTGCTCCCCTGTCTCTTGAACTGGACTTTGGAAGCTTGGTCCAGTGCTTAGCTATGGATCTGTATCTGCTTCCATCAGTCACTGGATGAAGGTTCTATAATGACAATTTTAGTCCTTAAGAATTTGAGGCTGAAGATTTGGCTTAGTAGGTAGGAGCAGGAGAGCAGTGAGATCTCATGTTTGTAAAGACTTGAGATCACAGCATCCACATTAAATAAAAAGCTTGGTACTGTGGTGTTTGAGGCAGGAGTGAGAGACCCTTGTCTTAAAGGAGTAAGGCAGAGTGATAGAGCTGGATCCCCCACAATATGTGCACACACATTTTTAACTGTATTATTAACAGTATTAACTGGTTAATATCTTATTGATGAATGTTATCCTACAAGTATGATAATTTTCCTGCATAGTTCTTGTTGCCTCACGTTTTATTCATTCTGATAATGGTGGTTACCATTTTAGTGGCACTTAGGGTAATATTTATGAGTATGACTAGTCTACTCACACCTCAAAGGTTCTTTTTTTGATGTGTCTGTGCATTTGTGTTGACACAATTGCATATGTGCACATGTGTGTTTGGAGGTCAGAGGACAATATGGGACTTCATTCTTTAAGTGCCATCCACCATTTTATTTTGGAAACAGTGTCTCTCACTGGCGTGCTGCTTGCTAGCTGACCAGCAAAACAGACGGATCACTCTGCTTCTGTCTCTACCGTGCTGAGATATATTACCGTGCATGTTTGTTTGTTTGTTTTTTATGGGGGTATTTCTGGGCGTCAAACACAAGTCCTCATGTTTGTAAGACAAGCAGTTTTCTGAGTGAGCTATCTTTCCAACCCTTCAAATGTATTTTAGAATACAGATTCCCGAGTCCCACCATAAGTTTCTGATTCGTTAGGCTTACAGTGGACTTCTATGAGTTTGCGTTTCTGTCAAGTTCCCTGGTGGTGATACGTATCCAGCAGAAACCACACTTTTAACATCACTAAATCAATATATCTTTTTTCCAGTCTTTAATTTCAGTTTTGTTTCATGTTTGTTATCCTTTTCTAAGAAGGATACTATTAAGATTCATATATGTGAGGGCATATGTGAATGGGTGAGAAAATGGTCTGAACATGTGCGTGCACGAGTATGAGTATTTTGATTGCATATGTATCTGTGTAAAACATGATTGTCTGGTTCCTACAGAGGCCAGAAGAAGGTGAGAGATCCCCTGGAATTGAAGTCACAAACGGTTGGGTGGTGCCTGCAGGTGGTGGGACTTGAACCTCCGTCCTCTGAAAAATCAACCAGTGCTTTTAACTGATGAGACATCTCTCCAGCCCCAAGAGGCTATTTTCTATTAAGCTAAAGTGATGCATACTAATGTAAAATAGTCTCACTTTCTCACTGCAGGTTTTTTTTTTGTTTCTTGTGTGTGAGTGTGTATGTGTGCGTGCATGCGCATTGTGTGTGTGTGTGTGTGTGTGTGTGATGTTGGAAGGAATCTAGGACCTGCCTTATGCATTCTAGGAAGGTGCTGTACTACTGAGCTAAATTCCCAGCCATTCCAAATGTTGATTTTTTTTTTCTTTTTGTCAGTACTGCGGATTGAATTCATGGCTTCATGTGTACTAGGACAGTGCTCTGCAAACTAAGCTATAGTCCACAGTCCTGATTTTTTTTTGGAAAAGAAATAGTAATTTTTCAAAATAATGTTGTTTGTAGTAATATATTTAGGTTTATTATAAAATTGATTCGTGATTGCTTCATTTCTAAGTGTATAGTGTAAACATCAGTTAATCAGTATAACTCACATAAACAAAAGCTATTCCAGGTATTTAATATCTTATTGACCAGGCATGGTGACTCAAGCCTTTCATCCAAGCCCTCAGGAAGCAGAGGCAATGGATCTCCGAGCTTGAGATCAGCCTGGTCTACATAACAAGTTCCAGGCCATCCAGGGCTATATAAAAATTGATCGGAGGAAAATATAGAGAGATGAATTTAGATCCAAGATTTGCATAATGTAATGAAATTGTTAGGTGTGATAGAATGCAAATTAGAAAAAATACTGTTTTATTTTATGTAAATGTTTATCCAATTCTATATGATAAGTCTTATAACATTTTAGTTGTTCTTTGTGTGGAATTTATATGAAAGAACTATATAGATAGGCTCTAATTTAAATTTTTAAAAAGACCTAGCTTGCAAGAAGGAGTTGCATTAGTATTGTCTGACTACTGTTTTTTAACCTTAAAATGGATCTTTGAAACTATGATGATGCAATAAATACAATTTTTATCTTTTTATATTCTAGACACCAAGATCATCTCTCTCTCTCATCTTGAAATGACCTGGAGTAACAGAAAGGATTTTCCTGCCTTGCTTGTGAGGATCTTGCATAAATCAAAACTGCGATACTATGGGAAACCTAATAGAAGGATGATTGAGCCATATCAGGTACACATAAGGCATAAATAACATATCTTAATTTAAATTTTAGATTATAACATGCACACTTCTCTATTGGCAAAATATATTTCTTTAAATGATATTTCACAGGTTGAAATTAATAACTAGTGCACTCAGAGTTTTTACCTCAAAGTATTTTTTTCCTTTTCGTCTTCTCTCATATGTGGCATCCTGAGCCCAGTTTCCTCTTGCTCCACTCTCCTCAGTCTCGTAACACTCACACCTCCTCTGTTTCCCCTCAAAAGAAAAAAGAGCAGGCTTCCGGGAATATCAACTGAACACGGCCTAACAAGTTACAATAGGACTGGGCACAACCCTCATATCAAGACTGGAAGAGGCAACCCAGTAGGAGAAAAAGGCTCCCAGGAGCAGGCAAAAGAGTCACAGACAACTCCACTTTCACTGTTAGGAGTCCCACAAGAACATCCAGCTACATAACCATAGCGTTTGCAGAGGACCTAGCACAGGCACACGAAGGCTGTGTGTTACTGCTTCTGTCTCTATAAGCCCCAATGAGCCCTGGTGAGTTGATTCTGTGGGCCATGTTCTCGTGGTGTCCTGGATCCTCTCTGGTTCCTGCAGTCCTTCCTCCCCCACCTTCTGCATGGTTCCCCCAGCTCTCTCTATTGTTAGGCTGTGCGTCTCTGCATCTGTTTCCATCAGTTGCTAGATCACGCCTCTCTGATGTCAATCGGACTAGGCACCTATCTACGAGTATAGCAGAATATCAATGAATCGCTTCATTGAAATTCTTTTAGGAACCAGAGGGTGAAAAGCTATAATATTTTTTTCTGTGATTTTTCCATTAAAAATTCTTTGAAATTTGGCATGTAGCTCAATGTTAGAGAACTTGCCTAGCATATGCAAGGCCATGGGTTCATTTCCGTTCCCAGCACCTCAAAATGTATTTCAAAGGAAAAAAATCTGTTGTGTATGAAACAGAGGTAGTTATGTTCTTTAGATTCCCAATTCAGCTGGCCTCTTTCACACATTTTTCTTTGTCTTATCTTTTCTCCTCTGCGCTTTCTGCACTAGCATGTAAGCAGGCTCTAGTCTCTAGTCAAAAAAATGTAAAGGAAAACAAATTAGTAAGGGGAAAAAAATCCCTGGACCATTTCTTCTTGAAGATGTTTGCTTTTCCTTGCCTTCCATGTTCTTCTCAATACAATTAGTTGGCCTTTTCTTCGGCTCATCGTTTGCTAGGAGCTTTCTTTTTCTTTCTTTTTTTAGTTTTTTTGTTTGTTTATTTGTTTTTGTTTTTTGAGATAGGATTTCTCTGCATAACCCTGGCTGTTCTGAAACTCACTCTGTAGAACAGGCTGGCCTCAAACTCACAGAGATCCACCTGCCCCTGCCTTCTGAGTTCTGGGATTAAAACTGTGCGCGATCACTGCCCAGCTTGCTAGTAACTTTCTAATTGTCAGTCCACTCCTACACTTTTCTACTAACTTGGCTCTGTGTTTTCTGTACTCATTTATCTATTTTCTTGATATTTATTCTCTGCTTTTTAAAAAAAACTTAATATTACACCTTAGTTCCTCATGTATCAAGAGCTAGTTTATGTGTTTTATTAACTGTGATTTGTGAAAGTAATGTGTACTTATTGAAGGGAATTAAGAGAAAATATAGACAGATTTATTAAGAGAATGGTATTATGCAAGATTGTACCACTGAGACTATCCACTGCTAAAATGATGAATATTATCCCCTCTCTGGGTTTTGTGTATGCCATACATAAAATTTTATATTTAAATCCCATATGCACATATCCATCATGTATTACACACATGCATATGTGTTAGATTGCATCAACTATGTATGTCATATAGCTTTGTGTGCAGATCAACTGGTTTCTAGTCTCAGCTCTATCAGATTTTTATGGCATTCATTGTCTTCTTAACGCTTCAGTTTTCTAATCAGCAAAATGGAGGTGCTGACTTTATATATCTTACAGAGCTGATATGAGGATACAATTTCTTAATACTGGTAAATGATTGAACTGTTTTAGGATCATACCAAGTCCTCCATTTTAGCTGTTATTAGATCTAGTGTCTGACTTAGCTTTTTATCCTACTCAGTGACTAACATAATATCTGGAGGATGATACGGACTTGATACATATTTAATCACTGAAAGAATGAATTGCTGAAATTTGTCATTGGTAAGAAAAAGGATCTTAGAATAAAGCATCATTTGAAAATAAATTTAAAAAGCTAGAGAAAACTTGGGATACTATTCTTTAGGTGTAACCAGTGTTGTCCATCTTCATAGTTTAAAACGGAGAACATACTTCATGCTGCAACCATTCCCAGATTAAACAATAATGATGCTGGCATTAGCATTGCCTTCTGTCAAATAGTATAACAGAAATAATTCCCATGCAATTTATAAAAATCCCTAAGATACCAGTGTAAGTAAATTAATGTCATCCGAGCATTGATGGGATTCTGTCTACTCCGTGGTCTATCTGAAGTGCTATAGGATAAATGAATAAATAGCAAGGTCCTTCAGCCACGCAAATGATGAAGAATGCTATGAAGATCTTCACAGTTTGAGACATATCTAATCCTCTTGGTAACTGTATTGTGTGGTTACTCTGTGTCTGGCACTGGGGTAAGCATTATGGGAAAAGTCATCAAAACTAAGGTTTGCTCTGTGTCTTTAAAGGTTACTTTCACTTAGCTCTTAGCTGAGTTAACAACTGAATCATTATGAATAAAAAAAATAAATTTTAAGTGCTATTTTTCTGCCAGTATAAATTTGCACAGATGATACCTCCTATGTCACCCATATAGATAAAAATCGCAAATATATATTTGCTTTTGCTCTTTTTCTAGAGCTATTTGGAAGTCGCTGACAGTTCCGGCATGGTGTCGGTGATTATGTGGAATACTCTGTGTCCAGAATGGTATAAAAGTTTGAAAGTGGGCTTGATTCTTCTGCTTCAAGATTATTCTGTGAAGAAGAGCTACCCATTCAGAATACCGCCTGACCCTGTGGATCCACATATGAAACTAATTTCTACAATGGGTTAAGTATTCAATTAATTGTTCTATCGTGGCTATTTTGCTTATATGAATTTGCAGAGTGTCATATCAAGTAAAAGTCTGTAAAAACTACTGAAGCTATTAGAAATAGACAAGCTTAAATTCCTTTATAAAAATTCAAGCAGTTACTAAATTAATAAACAGATTAATTTATTAGTACACTTATTAAGAAAGATTATCTGAGGCATTTATTGTTGACCCAAGGAATGAACTCCATTTAGGATATGCTTAAATTTGGTTTTGTTCATTTTTGGTGTGTAATATCTAGTTAATCACCTGAATGCATTTTATACTTACTATTAAGTACTATGCTGAAAGAAATCTTATTAAGTTAAACATGTTTTTATTATTGTCTATATGTGTGTATTTGTGAGCCTCTCTCTTTTCTCCCTCCTTCTCCCTCTCCCCTCCTCTCTCTCTCTCTCTGTGTGTGTGTGTGTGTGTGTGTGTGTGTGTTCGCGCTTGCTTATAGAAATTAGAGGACAACTTTAGGAGTCTGTTCTTTCCATCCACCTTGTGATCTAAGGATCAAACTCAAATCATTAGGTTTATACAGAAAGTGATTTTAACCCAGTGACCCGTCCTACTGACCCTTGTTAACTTTATCATTTAGTACCTTTACTGTTTTATGTAATGGTAAACATGTCTAAATCTAAAAAGTATGAGTGATATTGTGAAATGATATAAAGTAGTTGTTATAAGATATTACAAAATAATAATATGTAAATATAACTACCTAGTTTTTATTTTTATAGATACAGATGCATATGTAAGCTAAATAAACACTTCAAGCAAATACCAAACACTGAGGCAGTATTTATCTCAGGGAAGCATGAAAAAGACAAATGGATTGGGATAAAGTTTATAATCCTTAAATTATATTTTTGTAACTTTATTACTTGAAATAAAACAGAAATGGAGAGAAGAACATGTAGTTTCTGCACATGTGAAATTAACTTCTCACTTTGAAATGATTTCAAAATAACATTACAGTTGAATGAATATTATAAAGAATTCCCACATTACCTTAACTCGTCAAATAGTTTTTAAGTTTTATTTTGCTATTTAATCCTTTCTATACACTTTCATTTTGGAGATAGTAACAGCCATCATACATCATTGCATAACTTTGTCTGCTTAACAATTTACTAATAATATGTATTTCTCAGGATCAAAAATATTCTACACATCTGTGCTAATGCACCCTTGTAATTCCATCTCTTGGGAGGATAAGGCAGAAGGATTTGAACAAATATTGTTCAAGGCCAGCCTTGCTCTGTGGCAAGCCCTTGTTTCAAAAAAAACAGCAAAAAAAATCATTCTGTTGCACAATCACAGTGCAATTATAAAAATCAAGAAACAAATTCAATACATTATTATTATGTAACCTTTCATTAATCAAATGTTGATAATTTTTATAATCCTGAAAGGACTTTTGTTATTTTTTAAAACAGGGTCTAACTCTAAATTCCAATCTCTCATGGAAATTACTGCATGGGCCATCCTGGCATGAAAAATTATATCAGTAGAACTGTTTCAGCTTCCCACGTGATAGGATTACATGTGTGTGCCACAACACCCAGCATAGATATTTCCCTAATTAGTATAGTAATCAAAGTTTTAATAATCAGTTTCCCCAAATATCTTAAAGGTATTCATTTAGTAAATTTTGCCATTATTAGATACGCTTATAATTTTGGAAATTTAGTCTTTTCCCCCCAATTTTGCATAACCTCAATCAGATTTTAGCTATAATTGATGACTTAACAATATTTTTTCTGAACTTGTATTTCTGTGTTTTCTCAATTTCTCAACTAATTCATTAAACTGATTCAGAAAAAGGTAGCAGATGTTAATTATTAGTTACGTTCTAAAGTATTGATCTCTTTGAGACAACCACATGATTCTTTATTAAAATCTTAACCATTTGCAGACATAGTTTAACTCTTGATAGGAAGAAAATTATTACCTAAATAGTTTACACACTTAGTCCTTCTCATCACTAAACAGTTACCGTAGGAAAAAAAAATGAAAAATACATTTTTTAACCATAATGACTGTCAGTTTATTTTCTGAGGTATTTTGTTCTAAAACAAAACACTAGCACAAATAGCAAACTAAAAATTGATATAGTTGGACAATGCAAGCAATTGGACATCTTATAGTTTTACACAGGGTATGCTTTAGTGACTGGACCATAGAAGGTTTAGATACGCTGGGCATTACTTATGGAAATACAACAAAAGTTTGCCAGAAGAAGCTGTTACTAATTGACAGCATACACTATTATCCCTAGGAAATGATAAATTATATTCCATAAACTGACATCCAAGTGACTGAACTGCTTTAGTAAGGAATAGGCATTCTTAGTCAATAGAAGATACGATAAACGTCTTTATTTATGACAATACTAGATTAACAAATTCTCTTGAGACCTAGCCCAAAGTTCCTTGTACTAGAGTATAGTTGTAATAGACTAGAGCTATTTTAAAATTAAAATATTTTCGAGAATTTTATACTTGACTACTGTACTTATCCCTCGCTCTCCTTCCCCAAAGTCCTCCTGTGTCCTCCTCTCAAGTTCATGACCCTTACCCAGTTATTACTGACATATACACATATACATATATGTACTTAACAATTATAGAACATGTGTGTTTCCATTTACTGTTGCTTGTATGTATATATGTTTAGAGCTGACCTGTTGAGTTGAGATGATCTATCAGAGAGCTACAGAAAACTGATTTTCTCTCAGCAGTCATATACTGCCTTTAGTTCTTTAATTAGAGGTAGGATCTTATGAAATGCACACCATCTATGTTAGCTTGTCAACTGGTGTTTGTAGAGGCATTTCACTTGTATTTGAATAAATAAAACTTGCCTGAAGATCAGAGAGTAAAACAGCCCCACTGGTCAGCCTTATAGACCAGGCAGTGATAACACACACCTTTAATTCCAGTAACCATACTAGCTTCCCATAGAAACCGGATAGTGCACGCCTTTAATCCCAGCCCTAAAAAGGTTTATAAAATGAGAGGAGACAGCTGACAGACACAGTGTCATTCTGAGATTCCTGGAGGCAGGATCACCATTTTCAGACTGAGGTAGTGGTAAGAGCCAGTGGTTAGCTGCTTTACTTTGCTTTTCTGATCTTCAGGTTGAACCTCAATATCTATCTCTGAGTTTTTATTAATTATACTTCAGGTATTGTCATGCATGCCTCCTTTGGGCAACCATGTTGTTGAGAGCTGATATTTGGAGCTTCTCTGTCATGTCTAGAAGATACTATTAGCAGTAGGCTTCCTGGTTCTCTGGCTCTTACAATCTGCTTGCCCCCTCTTCCTCACTTCTCACTGAACTTTAGGTGCATGAGTTGTGTTGTGGATACAATCTATTGGAACTAGGCACCTACGATTCCTTATTATTGTGACCAGTTGTGGACACTGGAATAGTCTTTATCAGTTCCACAAGGAAGGGTGAATGCTACAACTATCTGTAGGTATATGGGTTTAGAATGCAGTTGGAAATTACATTGGAATTTCCTGACGAAAATCTCAATTGGAGGCTTCCTTGGCCTGGCACCATTTAGGTTTTGTTTTTTGTTTTTAGTTTGTTGTTGGTAGGGGTGGGGGTGGTCGTCGTCATAGTGGTGGTGGTAGTGTGTGTGTGTGTGTGTGTGTGTGTGTGTGTGTGTGTGTGTATTTGTGCGTATGTGCGTACAATAATATAGTATACATCTTTCAAGTAAGCTTATAAAATTATGTTTTCCTATGACTTTTCCAAACATCTTTAGTGCTATTTACCTCTCCTTTCTCCCTCACACTCAGTATTACCCTTCCTCTCTCCTCTAGTTTAACAGTTCAGTCCCGGGCCTGTTTTCCCATTCCTCCCTGTTCATAGTCCCGTGCCCTACTATCCCTGTCTCCAGAGCTCCTTCTCATCCACAGCCCCCACTATATTCCCTTCTTATTTTCCTGGTTTCTGCCCTAACTTCTTTTTATATACTCACATTTAAGGATTCAGAGCTATGATCCACAAATAAGAGAGCAGGAGCAGTTGAAAATATTCCTGAGAACATGGCCCACAAATTCAGCTAGCAGGACTCCTAGGGGCTTACAGAGACTGAAGCAACAATCACAGAGCCTTCATGGGCCTCTGCTAGGTCGTCTGCACGTGTGTTATGGTTGTGTAGCTTCATATTCTTGTGGGATTTCTAACAGTGGGAGTGGCTGGTGCCTCGAACTCTTTTGCCTGTGTTTTGGACCGTTTTCCTCCTACTGGGTTGCCTCATCCAGCCTTGATCCTAGTCTTACTGTATCTTCTTAGGCCATGTTGGTTGGATATCCCTGGGAGGCCTGTTCTTTTCGGAAGGGAGACAAAGGAGGAGTGGATCTGGAAGAAAAAGGAGGTGGAGGGAGACTGGGAGGAGTGGAGGGAGGGGAAACTGTGGTCAGGAGGTATTGTGTGAGAGAAGACTAAATTTTAAGAATTAAAATAAATAAAATTGTGAAGCAAAAGAAAATATGTTGAGTGAGGTAGCCTTGACCTGGAGACTTCTTACATGGCTGTGGATACCTCTACGGGTATATCTAATTCTAGTGGTTGCTTCTGAGCCTTGAAACCACATGAAAACTAGGAAAGTATGACAGCACATAGTCATCAGTCAATCATCACCCACTGCAAAAATAAATAAGTAAATAAATAACCCTGAAACAGAACACAACCATAAGCCCACATTTCATTGTGGAAAACTGTTCTTAAAAATATAAGATTTGCCTTCCAATATGTAAATGTACATACGTAATTATTTTAAAGTGCCAGTGACCTTTGAAGGTAATATATTTTAAATATATCCTTTAGACTTTCAAAACCGTTTTGCTGCTTATTAATGTAGTAGCTGTCTCTATTTCCCATATAATTCTGATTAGTAGTAGAATTTTTATTTTTCTTTCTCTACAGAGGTCAATAAATTCTTGATGAAAAATTCTGGAAAATAAATAATTTAGTCTCAGCTAGCCATAGGGTTTACACTGGAGCCACTCAGCTTTGCCTGTGGAAAGAGGAGGCAGCCATAGTTAACGTGCAAACAAAATGATTATTCCTGTGTTCCTGTAAAATGTTAGTTTATAGAAATGAGCAGCTAACTGCAAGTTACAATTTGTCTAGGCTGTATGTTTAATATTTCTCAGCTCTGGCTGTATATTAGAGTCAGTTAGAGAGCTTTTTAAAAAAGCACTGGAACCATCTCCCTACACCAGAGATACTGTTTTAATTAATCTGGGGAGACCAAGGCATCTGCATATCTTTAAGACTCCTCAGTTGTTTCTAATATTAGCTGAGTTAAGAGAACATATTTTACGCTATTTCATGAAGGGAACAAAGCAGTTATGTCACCGTGCTACAGACAGGGGAAACAATGGTAAATAATAGATTAATAGTCTACTATCAAAGCATTAGTCCAATGAATGACAGATAGGTAAAATAGCAAAAAGTAGTAAAATGAAAATTTTAATGGCCATAGCAAGAAGTGTGATAGGTAAAAAGAGAGGTTATGGATAGAAATGTACTTAGTTGAGGAAAGAAAGGGCAAGACAGTGGAATAATTAGGAAGAAAGGAGAAAGTGTAAAAAGGGTTAGGAAAATAACAGGGCAGCTAAGTATTATGATCAGAATAAATAGGGTGGGGTATATAGTCAGGGAGAGATGATTAGTAGGGGATTAGAGACTCCTGCTACTGTCACTGCCGTTTATGTGTTTTATGTTGTTAGACAAGCTGTTGTGATCATTTTTCTTGGTTCTTTTGATATTTGTGTATAAGGTCCAAGTTAAAGAAAAACTATATAATCATTTTAAAAGACCAAGTAAGTTTATAATGATGAAACATCTCTTGTAACACTAAGGATATATTCCCCACTGGTAATATGTAGCTTTATATATTTCTATTCTCTCTCTGCCCTCTTTTACAAAAGTTATATTCATGAAGTAATCAAATAATCAACACTTTGAGATCTTGAGATTTCTAGACCACATTGCATAATATATAGGAAAATGATTGTTCTGAGTGTTTTCAGTTGAAAGAAGTGTACTTGGTTAAGAATTAAAGTATTTCAGAGGTGTAAGAAATCTGTCCCATGTAGTCAAATGTTTATATATAGTATAATTCAGGGTTTCCTATGTTACCTTAGAAAAACCCTTACCTGTGTATATAGGAATACATATAATAACATTTGCAACAACTCTTCTACAAATTTCAAAATATGGAGATAATTCAGATATACAGCAACACAATAATAGGCATCTAAATTGTACTCGTTTATCATATCTGGATATTATTTAGTAATATGGTCACCTAAATAAGAGCTGCATATTGATAACACCTGTTGACAAGCCAAGATAGATGGGGAAAATCTCTTAGATTAAGATTGTAGGCAAATAATGGCTGCAGAGAAAGGGAAAAGACCCATGATAGGTTTCCAAAGCTAAGTGGTCAGCCTTAAACACATACACATATGTGCAGCACAAAATAGATTCAGCAAGTTATGCATTCACACACATATGTAGACATATATTTGTGTATGTATGTATGCACACACAAGTATATATGTGACAATTTAAAAAGAAGAGGTCAGGAATTTGAGAGGGGAGCATAAGAGGAGTTGAAGGAGGAGAAAGAGATAGAAACAGAGCCATAAAATTCTCAAAAAATATACTCTACTCAGCCAGTATGGGATAAATTTTAGCAGTGTTATGCAGCATGGAAGAGATCGTCCTAGAAGTCTGCACAAAATGATTCCATTCCAATGATGTTCAAAACTAAAACCAAATATCATTTGGACAAGACCACATATAAAATAAAATATTTTAACATTAAGAAAACACTTATACTCAAAGCAAAATATATGGTGCACATTTTTGTGGAGGGAAGTCAGTTTTAGAAGCAGATGGCAGATCATTGATATTGGTCTATACCTTGAGTTTAATGGAGAGAATAAACATGTTCTGTCTAAACTGGATGTGGCGCACACCTTTAGTCCCAGCACTTGGGAGGCAGAGACAGCTGAATCTCTGTGAGTTCGAGGCCAGCCTGGTCTACATAGTGAGTTTCAGAGCAGTCAGAAATACACAGTGAAACTCTGTCTCAAACAAAATTTTAAAATTGTTCAGTGGATGGTTTTGCTTTGTAATTTATGCATACACATATTCCTTAATATGGAAAATAGTATATTAAAGAAATATATATGTTTGTTTTTCAGAAATCTGCCTGAATCTTCGAGATCCTCCAACTAACATAGTTATCATTCCAGAAAAGCAACTGAAATCAGAATGGAAATTGCCAAAACTAAGTAACCGATTTATTACAAGGTAAAACAGTAATAGTCTCTTAATCTTTAAAATGTTAGTAACCAGAATATAATGAATTATATCTTAGTCAAAATCCATCCCAAATTATGCTATATCAATTATTCAGATGGCTACTTTCAGAGTTATTACTGAAGAATGATTTGTCAATGTTTAAATATATAACATCTATATTAATTTTCTTTTCAGATCGGAACTAGACGAAATGCCAGAAAGAAGCATCTGTGATGTAGTTGGTGTGTTAACTTTTGTTGGAAGGGTGCAACGGACAAAAAAGAAAGGTGAGCCTTTAAATTTGAAAGTGTTAGTGAATGTTTCAGTGTGAAGAGTTGTGTCCATAGGCATGCAGTGACCTTCATTTATTTTACTGTTCTTTCCACATAGAAAATAGTGAAGACTTTTGGTCATATCGCTGGATCCATATTGCTGATGGGACTTCAGAGCTACCATTTATAGTGCAGCTGTTTTCTACATCTCAGCCAGAAGTCTTTGAAAACATTTACCCAAGTACTCAATCTTTTTATCGCTTTATTTTTGGAAATAGCAGCTTGAATTTAGAAATAGTAAAATGGGGGCTGGAGCGATGGCTCCGTGGTTAAGATACATACATGCAGACAAAATACTCATATACCTAAAAGAATACACACACACACACACATTTGAGGGAGAGTGATCTAACTTAGAGAAGTGGTATGGCAATGAGGCAGAAACACAAACGATCTAAATCCATTTCAAATCTTTCCCATGTTCATGCAGATATTTTCTTTCTTAGCTCTGCAGAAGCTTCGAAATTGGCTTCAATCCCCTTTGCCAATTCTGGCTATTATTTGTGAAGCTGTTGGGTCGCCATTCAGAAAGTAATTGCATGCTCGTACTTCTTACAGTGTTCTTCTTTAGTAGTTTCGGGACTTATCATTAAGGGCTTTGATCCGTTCTGAGTTTATTTTTAAAGGGCGTTGAGGGACTCAGACAGGCCCTATTGTCTGCTGTTTGTTTTCCTCATTCCATCCTAATCACTGTCATATTTTATAGCCTAGGTTGCATGGTGGTCTAAATCATTCAGGTTCAACAGATCACCTCGTGCCACGGCACTCAGTGAGCCGCTAAAGCCTTTTACTTCCCTAAATTCTCTGATGGAGTACCTGTGAACACAGTCCTTTCCAGCCTGGTAATATAACACAGAAGATAGCATGCAGTCGTCTTTTTCTCTATGTAATTCCTCCCCTGCTCAGGCAATCTCTTTCTAGGAAGACAGCTGAACTTCAGGTACATGGTTTATTACCCACAACAAAGGCTGCTAAATGCTGCCACAGCCTGCTTGTGATCCCATCCCTGGTATTTTGGGGATTACAATATCTTTCCTATCCCCTTAGTCATTTGGGGGTTATCCCCTGATTGACATTGTAGGTTCCATTCATTATAGGTGCATACTACTCCTTACGACATGGCCACTATGGCATTTCTCTCAGTGACACTCCACCCTTCTCAGCCTCAGTTGCGAGTCCTTTGGCCATTGTGAGGAGCATTCAACTGGCCCTACACTAAGAACCACATCATCCTATACCACATGAGATAAGGTAGCCATACTGGAAAGAAACCACTGAACATGCCACTTTCAGACAGATGAGCTGTAGCTACAAGTCTTAGTCCTAATGATGGTTGCTATTCAACTGATCTTCCCTATTTGGATGTCGATTGTTCTGTTGGGTTTTCTGTTTTGTTTTATTTTGTTTTTCTGAGATGGTGTACGCAAATATGTAGTCACCGCATAGGAATCTCTTTCTCTATGTATTTTCTGAGTGACTGGGCTCATTTACATTGCCACCAATAGTGTATTGTTTCTTTTTCCCTATATCCTCACCGACACTTGTTATTTTTTATTCCTTGATGATAGGTATTCAGAATGGGGTTCAGTTAGACTCTCAGTGTAATGTACATTTTCATGTCTATGTTGAGACTCAGATGTCTGTAGCTATACAAACTTGTGCCTTGCTCTTAATTTTATGCTGCTGAACCATGGGCCTACTTTATGGCAATATAGTGCTGTTTTGTTATCATGTCACTAGCATAGTTTAAGATCCAATATTGCAATACCTCCAGCATAACTCTTTTGCTCCAGATTGCTTTGGCCTTTCAGGATCTATCATGCTTCTGTGCAGATTTTGCAATTGTTTTTTCCTAACTCTGTAAAGAATGACATTAGAATCTCAAGGGGATCTTGTTAAATCTGTAGATTGCTGTTAGTAGTATAGACTTTTACACACTATTAATTCTGCTGATTTTGTTGTTGTTGTTGTTGTTGTTGTTTTGAGGTGGGGTTTCTCTGTAGCTTTGGAGCCTGTCCTGGAACTTGCTTTTGTAGACCAGGCTGGCCTCGAACTCACAGAGATCCACCTGTCTCTGCCTCCCAACTGCTGGGATTAAAAGCATGCAGCAGCAGCACCTGACTCAAAATTGTTTTCTTGATTAATTGTTGGCAGTATAGAAAAGAGAAGGTGTAGGGAGAGGGTCATAAGAATATATTTTATTCATATTTGAAATTAGCGAAAAATGAGCTTAATTGATTTTTAAAATGTAAAAAAGTTAAAACCTTTCGTAAAACTTTAATGGATTTTATTTTCATTATTACGGAAGGAAGAACTAGCGATTGTAGCAAAAGAAAAATGAATTAATGCATATGCTATGGAGAAATTTTTGTTCTCAAACAAAAGCCTACTTTTGAATAATGAAATAAATTTACACTTGTGTTTATTTATTTATTGTTCTAGTTTATGAAATCAAAATTATTTTAACATGCAGTGAGTTGAAGTACCCAATAAGATTAGGATAATGAAATTTTATTTCCACTTATCCCTCAGTTTGGGTTTTCCTTATTGATTCCATTTCTGCTTTCATGTCTTGAACAGTTTTCTTTATTTCATTCCACTGTATGTATTTTCATAGACTTTGTTAATAGATTTATTCATATCCTCCTTAAGGTCATTGAGCATATTTATAATAGCTGCTTTGAAGTCCTTGTCCTGTATTTCAGCTGCATTGCATCTCTCAGGGCCTACTGTGGTGTGGGGTTGTTGAGCTCCAGTGGAGACATAGTGTCTGTTATTGATTGTGTTTTTACACTGGTGTCTAGGCATCTGGGTTTGTGATGATGATCATTTTAGATGCTGATCTTGGGTTTGATGGGTGCAGGTCTTGTTCCTTGGTTTCTGTTGCCCTCTCTGGTCCTTGAGAATGTGTGGCTGCTGTGGGTTGCCTGGCAGGGAACGCTTCTGAGATTCTGCCAGGTGTTGCCCCTGGAGTTTCTGGGTAGTGTGTGTTTCTAGGTATTGGGAACTTACCACTCAGGAATGGGGATGGGGTAGGAGGGGGAAGCTAAGGGGGTTCACAGGATGGAGGAAAGCTGGGTGTGCTGCCAGGATCTACTGTGGACCCCTGGGAATGAAGCAAGGAGGAGAGGCTACAGCAGGTGATGTTCTCCAAAATGGGGAGGGGGGATAGGAATTGGAGGGGAGGAAGAAGAATGAAGGTTGCTTACCTAATTCCCTGGCTAGTGTTGACTGCAGGTTCCCATGAACAGAATAATGTCATAGGTAGTTTTAAAATGATAGGTTTTTAAGTAGTTAAGGTCTGAAGATATTATAATCTCATTATAGTCACATTTGTAACCTATCAAGTAGGTTAACAAGATGAACAGAAACTAAGAGGTTATATAAATTCCCTCATTGAGTCTGATTAAGGTAACTATTTAAGGCATAAATCACCCATATAAACAAATACAAATTAATACCCTATATCTTTCTCTGATGGAAGGATTTCAAATGAGCAGGGTTCAGTATTGTATTGAAGAAATCAGTGGAGGTATCTCAAAGAAGCTAAGTTTCCTTTCCCAATAGAAAACAGCTACTCACATTGATGTTCCCAACTAGAATAATTCTCACACAATAAACAACTTGCTTTATTTACATGTAGTCCTTGTACTTTCCAGAGGAAAGGCCCCTGGTTAAAAAAAAAAGACAAAAAATAAATAAATAAAAAGAGCATACTAGGTAGCATCAGATTCCCGTTTGATCCAAGGACAGGCAGCAGAGAAGACCTGGTAACATTCGAAATGCAGCATCTCAGGCAGACTCGACGCCGGGAAATTTACCTAGGAAGTCTAAATTGGCATCGTAGGAAAAGTTCTTTCTGGTGTCTGCCTCTGTTAAGCCTTGGGGAGAATTTCCAGTAGATCCTTCTCTTTGGAACGGAAATACAATTTCACACATATTTTCCATTTTCCGCAGTGACATGTTTTGTTTGTACTCAGTTGAAAGTTGTTCGAAATAACGGTCAAGTACCTAATCTGCTTTACCTCACCACTACAAATGAGAGCCGCATTTTTATTGCTGGTGAGTACCTCTGCATAGCTTTCTATTGGAAATGGAATACACTGTCTTTTCACTAGAACTATCTAGTATATATTAACTTCTACCATATAACATTCAATTTCAGGGTAGCTGTATTTTGACATCATTATGACTGTAAAATATTTAATAAACAGTATTTGACTTATGAAATAGATTAGTTCTGTATTACTGCTGGTAGAAAATAGTTTCATGACTCATTGGAAAATTGCATTTATGTCATTTGATAAACTTTGATTACTACTTTATATAGAAAATAAAAGTATTGCTTGTTACGTTGAAGACTGTTAGGCTCAGTACCACAATGGAGAGTAAACATGATTTTCACACTTGGTCTTAGCCAAAAGATCAAAGTGTTAAGTTAACATTATTTTTACACCGCACCAAATAAAAATGTGGGTCAAAATTTGATTCCAAATCTCACATTTAATTTATATAACTAAATAAGCCTTGTTGTTTGTCTACAGATATACTGAACCCTCTATATATGTGGGTTACACATCCTTAAACTCAGACAACATCATATCACAATTATTTAGGGGAAATGTGTGTGTGTGTGTGTATGTGTGTGTATGTGCTAAAATGTACAAACTTCACTTTTGTCATTATTCCTTGAGCAATGTAGAAATAGTGTGTGTGCTTTTGTAGTGTTCTGAGTATTAGAAGTAGTCCAGAGCTAATGAAAATTACCCAGGAGGATGTGCATTGGTTGTATCCTCGTAGTATGCCATATTATACAAAGAACTTGGACATCTACAGATTCTTGTATATACAAGGATCATGGGTAGACTCAATCACTCATAAATACTGAGGAACAGCAGCACATTATTTTCCCTTTAGCACCAATAAGATTATGAAGGAATAGTGTAGAATGGGGTATTTGCCAGTTTTAGGAAATGTATTGCAGATGTCTTTATCAGTATTCTGTAAATATTAACAATGTTTGACATAAATGTGTCATTTTAAAATCCACCTTAGAACATGAATTTAAACCCCAAACTATGTTCATATGTATTTTAGTTCTGAGATTACAGCATACCCTCAAGTTAATAAGTTATCAAAAAACATCTTTTCAGGGGATGCCAACCATTTAGAATGAAGTTTCAGGGTTTTACCCCCCTGTGATTTTTATTATCACATAGACAGTTTTAGTTTTAAATCCGGTTGAGCTCTGATATGTCTGATTTCTTAGGATGTGTTTACTGTCATTGAATAATTATATGCTACATACTAGATAAGTAAAATTGCTATATTCTGAATAGTAAAATTGCTTTTTTATATAAAATGAGATACTTTTGATGATAATTCTGTTTCACAAAAAGTCTGCCCAATGTATTTCGGTGACCACTTTATTTATCTTTTTAAAAAATGTTTGTTTATTTGCATTTCTCCCTTCTTGCAAGCAGGTCACAGAGGCCAACCGTATACATATGATACCAAGGTAAAAAAATGTATGCAGTGGATTAAAGCAAAGACTGATTCAGAAGTAAACAACACTGCTATGGGTGGATATTACCCTTATCCACCAGTTCCAGAGACATTTTCCAAGTATAGCCGCTTTATTAAAGGTATTGTTATAATTGTCAGTTCCTTTATTTAATGTTACAAGTTTAGTATATGTTATTTCTATTAGTCATGTATATTCCCTTTGCTTAGAGGACTGAGCCTATGTGGATCATACCTCAGGGACAATAATTTTGTCCAAATGTAGATACAAAATATATGTTATGTCTCCTAAAGGTTAATGTTTTTATTTTATTAGACTAAAAAAAAAAACAAAGAGAGAACGTAGAAGATGGAAGACTAACTTGGGGGTAATATCTTGATTTAATATCATGGAGATCAGCTCCAATGATTTAATGTCATTAAGATCAGCTCCAACATTGGAAATCGTATTGTATTAAATTACATAGTAAGAACATTATCCGAATGAGGTGCTACAAATCTGACATCCAGATGTTGATGGCTATGTGATGTTTCTCTTGTATATAACATGATTGAGTGTTGATTTTAAATTAAAAGCAATACTAGAGTAAATGTGGTGTTCAATTTGGAAGATTAATGTTAATTGTCTTTTAAGCAGAATTGATATCAGGCAGCCAAAAGTTTAAAATATGTGTTTGTTTTTAAAGCTGGAGATACTTGCGTGTTTGGGAGACAATAAACATTGAAATGCTGAGCTATCATCTATGTGTTGCTATCCTCTTGGGTGTCCCATGTTAGTAATATGTTATATATGATTGAAATCATGAAAATGTGTTTTTCTGGGCAGTGAATAACCACTAATATATAGTTTGCAATATGATCTATATTTTTTTACATTTTGTTTTTATTTTCTTATTTATTATTTCATTACTTTAAAAAAATACCAATTCAAATTCGCACTCCCTCCCCTCCACACACCCTTCCACCCCCCTCCAATCCTAACAGAGAACAAGGCACCCTGCCCTGTGGCAAGTCCAAGGCCTATAATACAGGTCCAAGGTCTATAAATTATAAACAGTATGTACAGCTTCTGTTACAATAAAGACCAGACTAGAAGCCTATATCACAATTGGAATGGTACATGTATTTTGCCTATTTTTATGAAAATTACTTAAGAGGATACCAAATAGAAACACAAAGTCTCACAAAAGTAAGTTCATATGGCAGGTTTACATTGTAAAACTGCATCAAAGATCTAATCTTAAGTTTTTAATTGCTTTGCATCATATTTTCTCTTTCAAACTTACCTTGTCTTGGGATTTGTTCCCTTGCAGCTGAGTTGCTCTTGACAGCTATCAGCGAAGTGAGGAAGGTGATCGAAGTTTTGCAGTACAGGGAGCAGAAGCGCATTGCCATTCAGGGGATAATTGCTGCTATAAAGTACATCCCCCACCACCGCTCAGCGATGAGCGCCCCAGCATCAGAAACACTTCAGGTATGGTGCCAGGGGATTCCTAGTACATCTCGGACAGCACAATGGTCGTCATGGCCAGTGATACTTTTATGTAGTAACTCTTAATCTGAGAGAAAAATATTTCAGTTTTGTTCCTATTTTATGGCCTTTTTCTGTCATCTTTGGGCAAGGGCCAAGCCTCTGCATTCTGAAGACATAAGATCCTGTCTTTGATTTCTAAATAATTCAAGTCTGCTGTAGATGTCTTTAACGACTAGATGGAATATATGAGTAATTGTTCTGCTAACTTCTTTTAGGCTAAGCAGCAGGAAAACTTCCATGAGGAATATTTTACCTCTTTATCTGTAATGGTAGTTTTACCCATGTTCTGTAATACATAATATTATATTATTAACTCTCATTAATAACTCTCATAATAGAAATGGTCACTAGAAAAGACTGACAATTGAATGTTCATATCATCAAGAGTTCATATTTTCTCTGTTAGTTTACCTTCTTTTTTTCTTTTCTTTTTCTTCTTCTTTTATTTTTTGGTTTTTCAAGACAGGGTTTCTCTGTAGTTTTTGGAACCTGTCCTGGAACTAGCTCTTATAGACCAGGCTGGCCTCAATCTCACAGAGCTATGCCTGCCTCTGCCTCCCAAGTGCTGAGATTAAAGGCGTGCACCACCACCGCCTGGCTAGTTCACCTTTTTTAAAGCAATGTCTAGGAGTATTATTGTATATGTGGAAATAGTAATTTAATCTGTCTGGTCAGTTAGAGTACAATAAAGACTTTTATCTTCTTTAAAGTTAATACTAAGTAGATTAAAGCAGTATGTATAAAAGCAATATGATTACAACATTTTGCTCAGCTCTTCAAAGTATGAAAGTTAGTATAGTTTTTCAGAAGAGAAAGCATTTTGTGAGTCTGTTTTAAAACATTTTTTTCTAACTCTTGGTTTTAGAATGACAATCAGCCCTCAACTTCTCAGGCAGTTAGAAGAGAAGGTCACCATTATGAAAGAGGTAGCAAAAGACCTCAAGATGACGGGCCAGCGGGCTCTCAGCGTTCTCAGTCTACATCTGTAATTTCGAGTGTCAGCGCAAAAAGAAGAATTGTTCAAGGCCCAAGTGCTAATCCGTAAGTCATTGGCTATATGTACATATATGCCTTCATTTTCACATGGAGTTCACTACTGCTCCTGACAGTCTAGTTTTCCACCTTTAGAAATGATATTTACTTTATTTTCTTCGTATGAGTGTTTTACCTTCATACATGTATGTGTGTGTGTACCACTTGCTTGCCTGCTGCTCATGGAGGCCAGATCCCCGGAAACTGGAGTTCCAGATAATTTTGAGGCACTGTATGGGAACTGAGAACCAAACCCAGGTCCTCTGCAAGAACAAGCGCTCTAAACTACCAAGCCACCTCTCCAGCCCCCAAATTTCCCTTCTCTATAAGGACACCATTCATACTGCATCGGGGAAACACTCTGGTCTGGTGCAAATTCATCTTTTCTTTGGATAATATCTCATTATGTAGGCCAGACTGGCCTGTGACCTCTTCCTTTATTTAGCCTCCCTTGTGCTGGAATCACAGGCATGAAATGCTGGGAAAGGCTAGGATCTCACCTTAACGAATCACATCTGTAATTACTGTGTTTCCAAATCAGGTCTCGTTCTGATGGACTCAGTTAGAACTTTCATCATAGGACTAGAGCAGATTCACCATTCAGAACTCACATTTGCCTGCTGCCCATCTCACTCTGAATCCATGTACTTCACACACACACACACACACACACACACACACACACACACACACACACGAAAGCACTCTCTCTATCGCAGTAATCCCTCAGAGTCTTAACCTACGATCTTTTTGATATTGTTGTTGTTTTGTTTTGTTTTTGTTTTTCAAGACAGAGTTTCTGTGTGTAGCTTTGGAACCTGTCTGGGAACTCACTCTGTAGACCAGGCTGGTCTCGAACTCAAGAGATCCCCCTGCTTTTGCCTCCTGAGTGCTGGGATTAAAGGCATGAGGGTACATGAGCTGGCTTTTTGCAGTTCATTCCCTATGGTAGGATACCGTACTCAGCCTTGATAAGGGGGAGGGGCTTGGTCCTGCCTCAGCTTGATATATCAGACTTTGTTGAGTCCCCAAGGGAGGCCTTACTCTTTCTGAAGAGTGAATGGGGCATGGAAAGGGGGGAGGTGTGGGCAGGAGAAAGGAAGGGAGGGGGAACTAGGATTGGTATGTAAAATAAAAACAAATAAATAAAAACACCCAGAAAAACAAAAACTAAATTAAACTAAAAAGTCTGAACCTACACCTTCCTCAACTCTAGTTCCCAGTCTCAATGTAAAGGAAATCCAGGTGGGTCATCCTGGTGAAAATTCTTCAACAATTGACTGCTGAAAAGAGGCAAGGTATCCATGCAGATGACAGCGGTGTGGCAGGACCAGCACAAACTCTCCCCTTCCGAGAAAGAGAAACTAGAACGGAAGGCAGAATTATGAGATATAAACCACTCTAAAACTTAGTGTAGCAAATTCCATTTGATTCTCCCTTAAGATCTTTCCCCCTTCTCACTGACACATTTATATAGTTCCGTAATCTGTAACACACACACACACACACACACACACACACACACACACACAAATCTTGAAACTGCGTGTAAAAGAGAAAATGTATTTGCCTTTCTGAGTCTAGCTTATTTCACTTAATGTAATACTTTGTAGTTTCATTCATTTTTCTAACAATTTCATTATTTCACTCTTCTTTACAGCTGAAGAAATTTCATAATTCATATTTCATCAGCTGATGAAAATATAATCTGATTCCATTTCCTAGCTGCTGTGAACAGTGACACAGTAAACATAGATATGCAGATGTCTTGGTGACAGAATATAGAGTCCTTTGGGTATATGTGCAGAATGGTATAGCCCCGTTAGAACATTTGTATTTTGAGTTGTGACTACCCTCCACTCTGATTTCTTTAGTGGTTCCACCAGCTTACATACTCCCTGGCAGCTTCTAAGTTAATAAGGATCGCTCTCTTTCTCTCACATCCTCACCAACATTTGCTTAATGATAGCCATTCTGAGTGGGATGAAATTTCACCTCCAAGTAGTTTTAAATTCTCCTATGGCTAAGGATGTTTAACCACTCTTAAAATGTTTATAAAATGTTTATTGTCCATTTGCATTTCTTCTTTTGAAAACTCCATTTTATCGCTAAGAAGTTTTGGATTCAGATGATAAATGTTTTACAGTTCTTTATATATTCTGGATATTGAGCCCCTGTACGAAGTATACAAGACAAAGATTTTCTCCAGTTCTGTAGGCTGTCTCTTTATTCACAATTTCTTTTGTTATGCAGAATATTTTTAAGCTCATGTATTCCCACTTGTCAAACCTTTGGGTTATTTCCTGTGCTACCGGAATCCTTTGTAGAAAGTTCTTTCTCTCTTATAGCTCTGTTCCTGCCTGTGGAATCCCAGAAATCTGACATCTTTTCTTCGTTTCATCCTGTCTGTATTTCCTCTGGTTTTCAAAACAAGCAAACCTTCTATTTTGATGATTGATTGGATCTCTGATCATAAACCTAGTCTTTTAAAGTTAATTTTAAATTTCACTACATATATTTCTGTACTGTGTGTGCTACCGTATGTGTATACCTGTTTGGGAGCATACACATGCCATGGTATACACATGGAGGTCAGAAGAGAACCTTCAAGAGTTCTTTGTTTTCTTCTGCCATGTTGGTCTTAGGGATCAAACTCAGGTCATCAGTATTGGTGGTAATCATCTTTATCTGCTGAGCCATCTCTCCAACCACATATTAATTTTAATTAGTGTACAAAATAATGGACTTCATATGATATCTTTTTTTAAATGCTTTCATTTATTTTACATACTGACCACAGTTTCCCCTCCCTCTTCTCCTCCCACTACTTTCCCCCATCCTCCTCCATCACCATTCCAAAAGGGGCAGGCCTCCCATGGGAGTCAACAAAGCATAACACATCAAGTTGAGGCAGGACCAAGCTCCTCCCCCTACATCAAGGCTGGGCAAGGGCAAAGCAGCACAAGGAATAGGTTCCCAAAAACCAGTTCAAGGCCAGGAACATGTCCTGATCCCACTGCTAAGAGCCCCACAAACAGACCAAGCTACACAACTGTCACATACATGCAGAGAACCTAGTTCATCCCATGCAGGCTCCCTTCCTGACATACCAGAGTCTGTGAGCTCCCATTAGTTCAGGTCAGCTGTCTCTGTGGATTCTGCTGTCATGACCTTGATCCCCCTGGCTAGTACAATCCTCCCCCCTTGCTAGTACAATCCTTCCTCCCTCTTTTCAACAGGACTCCTGGAGTTCAGCACAGTGCTTGGCTGTGGATGTGTGTGTCTGCTTCCTTTAGTTACTGAATGAAGGCTCTCTGTCGACAATTAGGATAGTCTCCAATCTGATTACAGTAGATGCCAGTTCAGGCACCCTTTTCACTATTGTTAAGAGTCTTTTGGGATTTTTTGTTGCTGTTGTTGTTTTTGTTTTCGTTTTTGGTTTTTTTCGAGACAGGGTTTCTCTGTAGCTTTGGAGCCTGTCCTGGAACTAGCTCTTGTAGACCAGGCTGGCCTCGAACTCACAAAGATCCGTCTGCCTCTGCCTCCTGAGTGCTGGGATTAAAGACGTGAGCCACTAGCACCAGGCTTTGCTAAGAGTCTTATCTGGGGCCATCCTTGTGGATCCCTGGGAGTTTCCCTGGCACCAGGTTTCTCCCTGACCCCCAAATGGCCTATCACTATGATATCTTTATACATGTATATACGTATACTTGACTCATGTCGGCCCTCTAACTACTGTCTATCTCTTATCCTCTTCACTGCTCTCTCTCCTCATCACATGGTCTAGCCCTCTTCCTGCTCTAATGTTTATGTGTATATGTGTTCATAAATCTTTCTTGCATATGAAAGAAAACTTGATATTTATCTTTTTTCCCCATTATCTTCTGTCATCTACACCTCTTCACTTCTCTTAGTCCCCTTTCATTCCCCCAAATAATCTTCCTGTACATGCATGCATGTGTGTGTGTGCACACGTGCGTGCGCACGCACACACACACACACACACACTGCGTATGAGAAAAAAATATGCTTTTATCTTTTGTCTTAATTATTTTTCTGAACTTGATTATATTCAAGTCATAATTACAGTTGTGTGTGTGCATGTGTGCGTGTGTATTCTCACACAGCTGTATTTCCTTGTGTGTGCATATGCATGTGGAGGCCTAAAGACAGCCTCAGGGTTTACTCCTCAGAAGCTATCTACCTTGCTTTTCGAGCCTCATCTTTATTGGCCTGGAGCTTGCCAGCTAGGCTGCGCTGTCTCTCCAGACAACACGAAGGAGCTGCTTATCTCTGCCTCCCCCACACTCTGATGACTAGCGCATGACACTGTGCTGGGCCTTTTATGTGGGTTCTGGGGAGAGGAATCAGATCCACATGCTTGCATGGAAAACACTTTTCCAACAGAGCTATCCCACTGCACAGCTATTTTTCATACAAGACAAATCTTTGAGCAGATGGTTCTCCAGCCACACCTTTAGTGATCTGTCCAGAGCAAACTTCCTTCCATTTTATATTTGTAGGTTACCTGTTTCCCAAATATTTGAATTTTGGGGTTCTTTTGCTTGACGATTCCCCCTCCATTTGGTATCACTCTTTGTATATTTTAGTCTGAATAGGAAGGGGAGTCCAAGGGGTCCTCCCACATTTTGATTAGAAATACCCTCAGCTAAATGTCTAGGTTTACCACTTATAAGGTCAACTTTCCGTGCACACAGAATAGAGTATGAGCAAGTCATTTGAGACTGCATAAGAAGGATCGCCTTCTGAATAACACACTTTTTATTTCTGTCTGAAACTCTAGCAGAAGAGCCTGTCATATGTATTCCTAGGCATGTTTGGTTCATAACAGTGTGTTGTCTAAGAAGATAAGGGATTTTTGCAGCTCACTCCTCATCCTGAGCCCCAGTGAGGTTTTCCTTTGAAGTTTGGATTTCTACAAACATCTCCATGGAATTCTAGACTTTTTCTATTACACATTTCAAAACTCAGATTCAACTTAGAATATA